TTTTTTTTTTTTTTCTTTAATGGTAGTACTGGTATTTGAACTCAGGACTTTGTGCTTGCTAGGCAAGCACTATAGTGCCACTTGAGCCACACCCCCAGCCCTTTCGGCTTTAGGTATTTTTTAAAACAGAATCTCAATTTATGCTTGGGCCAACATGAACTGCAGTCCTATTTATGCTTCCTATTTATGGGGTGGCAGATGCTCGCCATAGCACCCAGTTTTTATTGAGATGGCATCTCATAAACTCTTTGTCCAGGCTGGCCTAGAACCACAGTCCTCCTCATCTCTGCCTTCTGAGTAACTAGGGTTACCGGGGTGAGCCACTGCGTCTGGCTTAGCAGCAAAATAGCACCCCTCTTTTCTTGATGTCATTTCTTACATATCGCCTCATCCCAGTCCTGAGGTGGCCGGGACATATGTATTTGAAATATAAAGAAACTAAGTTTCAGTCATGCCTTCTTCAGCACTTGCAGTAATGCGTGCAACAGAAACATCAAGTCTAGAAGTCATACTCTAGTTATCACTTTGTTTAATATTGAAGAGGGAGCGTGGAGGATGTTTAAAAGGGAATATGCAAAGACACAGTTTTTCATTAGAAATATTGGTAAGACTTGTTTAAAAAGTGACACAAAGCATTTGCCAGTGTGTGGCGGGCAGAGTAGGCACTTACATGTAAATGTTGCTAGATAGGTTTTCTTACCAGTCACAAGAGTGTAAAGAAAAGCAATGCAGACAATTTGAATTTTATATCACTTTCGTAGAATGTATTCAGAACAAGGTAGAATTAAGTTGTTTTCATTTATTTTGAAAGGTGCCTGATTATTACAAAATAATCAAAAATCCAATGGACTTGTCAACTATCAAGAAAAGACTACAAGAAGATTATTACATGTATACAAAGCCTGAAGATTTTGTAGCTGATTTTAGATTGATCTTTCAAAACTGTGCTGAATTCAATGAGGTGAGGTGGGGAGAGGCAATAGTCCTGTGAAAGTAATATTAAGGCAAACCCTTTATCAACAAATGAAGACACTGAGATGTCTGTGTCAGATCTACCAGGGTATGAAAGAGGTAATTAGGAAGACTTTATCCACATTTGTATGTAAAGTTTTATTTAATGGTGAGCACAAATACAAAAAATAGCTAATAACTGGAGACAATTTAGAAAATACGTATCTTTATCATTCCCATGTTTATTTCTTAAAATACGGCATTTCCAGGCTTAAGTCTTTTTGATGTTTATCTAGAAATACTGAGGATGTGAGCAAGTAGTTCTCATTTAAAAGTTTCTCATCTCTTGGTTTATCTGTCAGACTTCAGTCTTTGGTTTCTGGCTTGTTCCATGTGTTACTCATTCTAGACGACTGCATTTCTTTTCATTTGTTCTAAAAAGTTACTTGTTTCATGATCCTGTGATTATGACATCTTATTGATCTGTCTTCAGTAATCCAGTCTTAACCACTACATTCTCCTGTTTGAACAATGTAGATAACTCAGCAGAGTCTTTCTATTAACTTTTTAGCTAACTTTCTCTAGACTTTGTCTAGCCCTAGACTGTATTTATTTTATACTAATGATTATGCCTAAACATTTTCCAAAATAGTCCATTAATTTTCATAATCTCAATAGTCAAGACTGAATAGAAGTGTGAGAGATTACTTTTATTGGCTGTCTAAAATGTTGGTCTTTTTCTAATTCATGTTTTTATTTTTATTCAACAGCCTGATTCAGAAGTAGCCAGTGCTGGTATAAAACTTGAAAATTATTTTGAAGAACTTCTAAAAAATCTTTATCCAGAAAAAAAGTTCCCTAAACTAGAATTCAAGAATGAATCAGAAGATAATAAATTTAGTGATGATTCAGATGATGACTTTGTACAGCCCCGGAAGAAACGCCTCAAAAGCATTGAGGAACGCCAGCTGCTTAAGTAAGCAGTATCATCGGCATATGCTTATCTTTAGATTTTTTTGTTTTCCAAAAACAGTTGTCAGTAACTTAACATCATTGGAAAGAAGAGTTTGTGAGCCGTCTCATCTGTTTTTGATGTTTACTGAACTTCACTGAGAAAGAAGAAGGAAGAAAGGAGATCAGTGGAAGAAAGAAAGGAGGGAATGAAGAAAAGATGGCAGAAGAGGAAATGGAAAACAAGAAAAAGAACAAATGAAAGAATGAACAGTGATATACATAGACATTCTTCACACTTCTTGGATGTTGAACCACACTCGGGAGCAATAGCTACTAGAAAAAGGAAGTAGACTTTGTGTGAACTCCCAGTTGGAAATTCATGTGATTTGAGTGTGTGTCAATCCGGTTTAGAATGTTAATGCTGCCACCATTAATTATGGCCCACAAGATTAGGTTTGCTGTCCTTCAAAGCAGTACTCCCAGAACATGAGCAGCAAGATTTCTCTCCCAGGAATCCAGCTGGCACAACAAAAGGGCAGTAGATTAGATGCTATTAAGAAGGCACCTAATAGTCTATCATGTAAGATGACAACTATATTAAACAAAATCAGGAAAACGATGTTTGATTTTTGGTTTTGTTTTTATCTTGTCTATAGAGGTATTGGGTATAGCTGGTTTTCAAGGCCATTTTCATACATTTCTAGATCTAGATTTTCTTCACCTTCTTCCTGTGAAAGGTATAAGTGTGCACATGTTTGGTTTTGCTGTGTCTATGTGTGGTTTGTTGTTTGCTTTTTAACTGTGCAGGTGACGCTTTTATAGCAGGCCTCATTGTTTGCCGTGTGGCTTTTATAGAACTACCCAAAATACGAAGTATAGCAGGGTGTACCGTATTTGATGTAAATTTTCTTCCACATGTGCCCTGAAAGGGACTGGAGGGTTGTTACTTTTTGTTTGTTTTGTGGCTTCCATCTGTCTTTATAATTTTGAATGAAAATATGTGTGGGATTTGGGAACAGCCAGTTTGGGGGAATTATAGTGAAAATATTTTTCCCTGAAGCATCTATTTTCTGGTTTTTCTGTTTGATTGATTTTTGAGAATCAGAACCTCAAATTTCATCTTTGATCTGACAATGCAGAATTGCATTTTCATCCTGATAGAGGTACAGAAGATCTATTTTCTGGGGAAAGGCATATTCTACACCCAGCTAGTTTAACTGACATCCATGTATTCCTTCTACTTGTTGAGTGTTTTTTAGGATCAGATGAACTTTCAAAGAAGCAAGCTAGGTTAAGGTAGAAGAAAATTGCTATGCTATACTCTAATGCAACAACTGACAAAATACTTTGACATGGATATTTTTAGTTTGCCACAGTAAACCTTTATTAATAAAACACTACAATTAATGTTTGACTGGAGGAATTCTTCTCTTTAGGAAAATAGAATAAAAATGCAGGTGACTTGAAGAATTCTTTTGTTATATTGCCTCCCATGAATTAAAACATATAGAAGACAATTTAAAAATTGTGGTAATACATTTGATTTTTCAGGTATTGCTAAAGATATAAGGATAAGATAACCTATTAGCAGTAGCTTCCCATTTTTACCTGTTGTAAGTCTTAATCACTTTTCCAAATATGTGTTACATATACCACCGTTTCCTGTTTTGAATATGCATCTGACATTTGTTCTCTAGTGACTATTTGAGCAAGCATTGATAATACATATACCTTTAATTGTCTGCTTTTTGCTCCAGCATTTCTAGCACATCCCCTATGGAGCTTTTGCTAATAAGTTTATTATTGGTATCTTAGAATACTGCTCTCCTGATATTTTGTTCTCCCTACTTGTCTCCTGAGTTAAAGCAGCACAGGTAAATTGTTTTGGGACTCATCACTAAAGGAGGTAAGACTTAAAAAACAAAAACTTTAATTTCCTAAACTGTAACTGAGCCATAAATTTCTATTAATGTACTCCAGACCCACTATTCAGTGCCATATTAACCTTTTAAAACAGTATTTCTGTTTCACCATTACCATCTTCTGCTCAGTGAAAGGCAGTTCTGGACCATCTTTCCTATAATGATACATAATACAGATGAACATACTGAGAGCAAATGTCTTGGGTTTCTCTCTCCAAATAGACCTTTTATAATGGTCTCTAAGGCCTGTGAAATTATTAAGTGCCTACGTTACCTGATGGATTCCAGCTAAATAGTCTTTCAATTCTATTCTAATAGAAGCTAAGAAAAAAAAAAAAGAGCCCAACTGTATCCTACACTCATTTTGAGAGCACAGATACCCCCCTAAAAGTTCAGTAAATGCATGTGGTCCAGGGTTTGCCTTTGACCAAAACCTGAGACATCTTTCCTCTGAATAAACAGAACATGTGGCAGCTAGGATTTACTCAGTTCCATCTTGGTTTAGCTTTCCCACGTGCCGAGCATCTGACCTTTCTGGTAGTAAGGAAACCCAAGGACACAGTCAGTGACTTACATGCTATGGCAGAAATGTAAATGGACTGAGATATACCATCTTAAATGCAAAATACATATTTATATCAGCATCTGGGAAGTGATCCTTTTGTCCTTTGAATTGACAGGTCCTGCTTAGTTTTTCTGAACATGTGTAGAAAAGTGGAGCATCCTCTTCGCATGGCAGCTTTTTATTTCTGTTTTTTTTAGCAGTACTTAGGGCCTTGCACTTGCTAGGCAGGTGTGCTACTATTTGAGCCACACCCCCTAGACCTTTTTGCTTTAGTTATTTTTTTAGATAGGGTCCTGCATTTTTGCTCCACCTGGCCTTGAGCCCTCCTACCTATGCCCTTCTGTGTTGTTGGAATCACTGGCTTGTACTACCAAACCCAGCACCATTTGGTGAGATAGGGTTTCCCTAACATTTTTGCTGGGGCTGGCCTCAAACTTCTTGAGTATCTGGGATTCCAGGTGTGAGCTTTCATATCTGGCTCTATAGCAATTTTACTTCCTCTTCCTTTTCTGTGCTACCACAGAGAAGTATGAATATAGTGTAATTTAGGAATATTGTCAAAAAGATTAAGCCCACAGTGAAAAGGGTGAGTATACAGCCAGTTGCCCCTTTTATGAATTTGTGTTTCAAAATCCTCTGTTACTAACAGTGTCTAAACCTTTAAATTTGATTTACTTGGAGAGACAATGAAAAGAGAAACTCCTCCTTTTAGTGAAGACTGATCCAAATGAATATGAATACCAAAAGTAAGACTAGACTACATGTGAAGAAAAGGTTTTTAGGTTTAAATTAAATTTGTACTCATTTTTTGTTTATCTGTATTCATTATGAATAAGAGAAATGGAATGATCTGAGTAACCATTAAAATTATGGACGTGATCATGTATTCAGCCATCTAATTTCTTCACACTCCTCCTGTCAAATAGCCATGTACATATTTTTTAAGTATTTTATACAGCCCAATGTAAATTAATAGTTGATGACTATGAACATTTATTACACCTTCATCTTAGATGGGAATTTAGTAAGTCATCATCACATGCAGGTGATTCATGTTCCTGAGTGAGAACGAGCCAGTCGGATCGCAGACTTCTCCATGGAGGTTTGCAGATTGCAAAGGACATCTGAGGCAATAGTCTGAATTTTGTTTTTCATTCTTTGTTGTTTGTTTTGTGGGTTTCTCCCACCCCCTCCCTCACCCCAGTACTGGTGCTTTGAATTTAATAAAAATTAATTTTGATGAAAATTTACTGTGAATATTTTACCACAGCAGAGATTTTTTTTTTAATGGAAAAATGAATGGGTGTCATTTCAGTCAAATTTTACCTAGTTTTGTGTTCTTCTAGCTCTAACACATAAATCTAGGGACAACTACTGGTCCATACATAATAGAAAAACAGTGTTTTATTCTAACATGCATTTCGTCAGCCTAAAAGATAAATAAACTTGGCAAACTGGAAGGAAAGCAAGTGGTAAACATCTTCAATCAATATTTCCTCCCCTTAAAGTGGGAGAACTATGCCATGAAAAATTCTACTTGTCTGAAGCCCATTGGGGGAAGGAGAAGGAAGACACAGAGTGGGGACTTAACTAGTCTCGTCACTTGGAAAGTTTACCTGTAATGTTTGGAAAGTTTTGATAAATTGTAATAACTACTGTTTTATTTTTTCTTAAATTACTGTTGGACATTTAATAGCTCTTACTTTGGTGGAGATAACCTTGATTCTAAAATTAGTGTTTTGCATAGAATACATAAGCCCTAATTTGAGTCTCCTCAAAACCCTTCCTTGGTGGTTAACAACTTTTCACAAAATTCTACACTTTGTACCCTTTTCCTTAGAAGTGGCATTCCCCCAAAGAAAATCAGCATGTTCCAGGCACCAGACTTTGACAGCCATGCTGGTTATCTAATCTGGTCTTTTTAGAGACTCACTAATGATAACATATGTTATAAAGTGCAACATAAAAAAGTCAAAGGGTTTGGCATTCATGTTGCAGAAGGAGTTTTTGCCATTATAGACCATGCTTTAAAGATGCTTAGTGAAGTCAAATTTCTTCTATGTGTAAAACTATTAAATTCAGACAGGTTCAACCTCTATCCTGTTAGGTAAAGCAAAATATTATTATATAGAGATTCCTAGTTTTATTATTTAATACCCCAGTCAGTATCTGCTTGGCATTTTAATGGTCTGTGAAACCAATTCAGAAGAGTTTATATAAGTCACTTTGAAAGTTTACCTACATTAATTTCACCTATGAAGTTTGGAAAGTTTTGATTAAAAAAAAAACTGAGTGACTTAAAATTTGCTTCTACTGATGACTAATACTGGTAAGTATGTTAAGCAACCCACATGAGTTAATAAGGATTTGTCACGTTGGATATTCAGTTAAAATTATGTTAATTGCCTATGGCCTGCTTTTGTACAGCCTGAAAGCTAAGAATGTGTTAAGCTTGTGAAAGAGTTCATAGCTTGCTCACAAAGCCTAAAACACAGTTGGTCTTCCATGTCCATAGGTTCCACATGTGATGACTGAACCAGTTGCAGATGAAAAATATTTGAACAAAATGCTTTTATGTATAAACATAAACAGACTGCATCGTCATTATTTTTAGCATAGTGTTTACATTGTTTTAAGTGTTACAAATCATCTAGAGATGCTTTAAAGTAGGTGGGAGGATGTGTCTAGGTCATATGCAGATACGGTGCCATTTCATATAAGGGACTTGAGCATCTGGGGATTTTGGTTTCTGTAGGAGTCCCGGAACAATGCCCCAAGCATACTAAGAGATAACTACTCAGCTGTCTGACCTTCTATAGAAAAACATTTCTGATTTTAAGCCACACAGTGGTTCAAATAGGAAGTATTTGTGCCCCTCATAAGCAGAGATATAAGCTTCATATACATAGTTCGCTAATGCAGCAACATGGTGGTTCTGCTGGATTTTTTTTCAACTATGAAATTGGGTGTGGAGAGAACATCCTTGGAGTCCCCAACTTCAGTGGGCCTCTATAAGAAGTCTGAACAGCATTGAAAGATAAAATATAAGTGCAAAAGTTTTAGGCGTTTTCTTTCCACATCATGCCTCCTAATATAACATGGTGTGCATAGCTGTGACATCACACATGCATTGATCTCTCCACTAATACATAATTAACATGGTGTAGGAAAGTTGTATTATTTTTCATTTATTTTGGGTGGGACTGGGGCTTCAACTCAGGGTTCCAAGCATGCAAGGTAGGTGCTCTACCGCGTGAGCCCACTTCCAGTTCATTTTGCTCTAGTTACTTTGGAAATGGGGTCTCAGCAGCCCGGACTGACCTTGAACCATGATCCTCTCTATCCATCTCAACTAACTAGGATTACAGGTGTGAGACTGGCACCCAGTGTGCATTCAAATTTTT